CACGTCCTTTTTCAATCAGGTCAGCCAATTGATCCATGGGTGTATAAACCCACGGTATGTCTCCCAGAGAGGCATGTACCCACTGAAGGGGCTTCCCGTCCTGATTAAGGACGGATGTCATCAGGGTCTCACCGGAGAGTACCCATAACTCAAGATCTTTACTAGGCATGTACCGGGCAAGTTGGACATGGTCCAGGGCATCCTAGACCTCATGTAAGATGTCCAGGTGTTGAGGAGCCAGGTGAATTAGTTCTGAAGGCTGTTTTCCTACTAGCAACTGAAACAGTGGTCTTAAAGTCTCAGTGGGAATAGGCATTCAGGTTCATAGCCAATTAATTTCTCCTAATAATTTTTGTAGCTCTGTCAGGATTATGGTGGGCTTGACAGCCAGTTGTGGTTTTAAAGGGCTTACTCCTTCCAAAGAGAATGTGGTTCACAGAATTTTAAAGGGAGCAATAGTCTGTATTTTATCAGCGGATACATGGAGTCTGCCTGTCTGTAGACATTTCTGAGTAACCTTATATAACTCTTCTAATTGTTTGGGGCTTGGAGCTCCCAAGATTATATCATCCATATAAACGTACACAGTGGCATGTGGCAACAAGTGAGCAGGCCCCAAAAACGTCTTCACATAGCTTTGGCAGAATGCTGGCCATACCTTGGGGTAAAACAGTCCATTCATACCTCTCATCAGGCGTTTTAAAGTTGGTGGAAGGCACAGAGAAAGCAAATTTTTCACAATCTCGGGGTTGTAAAGGGATAGAAAAAAAACAATCTTTAATGTCTATAACTATAAGAAATAAATCTGAGGGAATAACAGGGATCCAAGGCAGTCCCCTTAAGGGTGTATGCACTAGAGTCATCCTAGCATTGACTTTACGCAAGTCTTGCAACACTCTCCATTTGCCAGAAGATTTCTTAATAACAAAAACAGGTGTGTTCCATGGACTTATAGAAGGCCAGACATGGCCCAACCATAATTGTTCCTGCACAATTTCCTTTAAAGCCTGTAGCTTTGTCTCAGACAATGGCCACTGCTCCACCCATACCGGCAACCCAGGGGACCACCAGATAGCCAGAACCTGAGAGGCAGTGGCCCCTAGAATTGGGGGTGAACCCGATGCTCTTTCTTTGGGTACCCCCTGTAATTGATATGGCGAGACAACCTCTGAGTTACTGACTTGGGAAGCCTATCAGACTCTTCAAGGTCCAAAAGGTCATCATAAAAGGCCTTGTTATCAGTGGTTATACAGGCCTGTGCATCCCCCCCAAAATATCTTGTCCTATGAGGTTGGCAGATAACCCTGCCGCCACCAGGGGTCACACCTCCCCTTTAGCTCCATCTGCCTAAGAATGGGGACGGTTTTCATGGGTCCCGGGAGGCCCTGAAGTTGGCCAGGGCACACCCGAGGTTCCGCTTGTTACTTTGGCCACTTTTGGTTTCACTTCTGTTGCATTTCTGCGTTCTTCCTCAAACTCTTCCCATGATTCCTGTGCCGGGGTTTCTGAAGGCTCGTCAGGAGGTGGTGCCGAGGGCTTAGGGCTCTCGGGCTGAAAGCATGCCTTTAGGGTTGAGATAATAGGGTAGAACCCCAGTGGCAGATCAATCCCCAATTCAACCTCCCTTTGTTGAGCTAGGCGTTCCACATGTTCCCATGTATCCCCAGTAAAAACATTAGCCCCAAGTAACCAGGGAGCCAAATGGACGGCCTCTGCCCAAACCTTTTGAGCTGCCGGATCTGACAGATCCAACCCCCTACTTTTAAGCATATCTCTCAGCGCCTTAAGCTGGGTCCTCAGGCTTATTAATTGCATTACCCATCTTTTCAGGTCTTGCTTACCACGGACTCTCGATTGGCCCCAATCCTTTTCCTTTGAGCACCACGCTGGGCACCAGTTGGGGGGTTTCGAGCCTGTGACCCCCACACAAGGATGACTGGGAATAAGTGTGCCATTCACCAGCCCTTGCCGCCCCCAGCACTGGGAACAATCAGACGAAACGGGGAGTCTAGTCAAGCAGGAACTCATTTATTGCAGGTGTTACAGAGCTTATAAAGGCATCTGAAAATCCCCCTCCCCCCTGAGGGTGTATCTTAAGGATGATCACACGCAGATCATGCACTCCTCAGCAGTGCAGAAGTATCTGTCAGACTTTCAAAACAAGTTAGGCTGTGCCCCAGTAACTTCCTCTCGGCGCCACCTTGGCAAGACGGGGCCTTTAGGTCCCCACACATGCAGGCACTCACATATATACATTTAAAAATAAATCTAGGGGCTGGAGAGATGGCTCAGGGATTAAGAGCACTGACTGCTTTTGCCGAATACCGGGGTTTGATTCCCAGCACCCACATGGCGGCTACGAACCGTCCTTAACTCCAGTTCCAGGGGAATCCAAAACCTCCTCTGACCTCCACGGCATTGCATGACACAGGTGCACTCACTTACATGCAAACAATACATTCATACACATAAAATATAATAAAAAAGTAAAATATTAAAAAAATAAATCTAAGGGGCTGGACAGATGGTTCAGTGGTTAAGAGGATGCTCTTGCAGAGGACCAGGGTTTGATTCTCAGCACCCACGTGGTGGCTAACAATTGTACATAACTCCAATTCCAGGAGAATCCTATCCCTTCTTCTGACCTCCTCGAGCATTGCATGACATGGTACACTTGCATATATGCAGATAATACACTTGTACACATAAAATAAAAATAATATGGACTGAAGAGATGGATCAGCAGTTAAGAACACTGATTGTTCTTGCAGAAAACCGGGGTTTGAATCCCAGCACCCACATGGCAGCTAACAACTGTCCATAACTCCAGTTCCAGGGGAGCCGACAGCCTCTTCTGACCTCCTCAGGCATTGCACGACATGGGTGCACTTATCTACATGCAGGCAATACACACGTACATATAAAATAAAAAAACAACAACAAAACAATGAAAAGGTCGCTGCAGGCCTTTCTTACCCATGTAGCCATTACTCATCTTAAAAATATATTAAAAAAATAAAAATAATAAATAAATTTTTTTTGTCTATTTAAGACAGGGTCTCCCTGTAGCCCCAACTGGCCTGGAACTCGCTGTGCAGACCAGGCTGGCCTCGAACTCACAGAGATTCACCTGCCTCTGCCTCCCGAGTGCTGTAACTAAAGGCGTGCACCACCATGCCCGACTTAATAAATAAAATATTTTTAAAAATAAATCTGGGGCTGGAGAGATGGCTCTGCAGTTAAGAACACTGGTTATTCTTACAGAAGACCCGGGTTCGAATCCCAGCAACCACATAGCAGCTAACAACTGTCCATAACTCCAGTCCCAGGGAATCTGACAGCCTCTTCCGACCTCCATGAACATTGCACGGCATGGGTACACTTACCGACATGCAGGCAATACACATACACACATAAAATAAAAATAATAAATAAAAAAAATTTTAATTTTAAAATAAAGTAAAAAGCCAGCCGTGGTGGTGCACGCCTTTAATCCCAGCACTTGGGAGGCAGAGGCAGGCAGATCTTTGTGAGTTCAAGGCCAGCCTGGTATACATAGTGAGTTCCAGGTCAGCTGGAGCTACAGGGGGACCCTGTCTCAAAAAAGACCAATAATAATAATAATAATGATAATAATAATAATAAAGTAAAATAAGATAAACCTAAGCCTGGCATGGTGGCACACGATTTAAGGTAAAGCTAAAATCTTTTGTTTGGTTGTGTTTTGTTTTGTTTTGACAGAGTCTCATGTCACCCAGGCTGGTCTTGAACTCACTAAGTAACCAAGGCTAGCCTTGAACCCCTGATCTTCCTACCTCAGTACTGGGATTACAGGCATGACCCACCAAAATCCATTTAACATTATTTCAGAAAGGACAGAGAAAGACCTGTAACAGAAAGGAGACCCTACCTTTGCTGACGCTGCCTGGGTTCTTGTGGGATTCCCACAAAACAGCCACTTGAAGTAGGTCAACTGAGTGCTGACCCCTACTGGCCAATGTGACTGCTACACACATACACTCAGGTGGGCACCACACATAGGCTGAGTGGCTACTTAGCAACAAAACACCAGTGTCTATAAATCCTCTTACCTTTAGCCCTTTTAATTCCACTATCACACACACACACACACACACACACACACACACACAATTAAGCTATAAAGCTTTCTCGCCAGGTGTAGTGGTGCACACCTTTAATCCCAGCACTCATGAGGCAGAAGCAGGTGAATTTCTGTGAATTCAAGGCCAGCCTGGTCTATATAGCAAGTTCCAGGCCAGCTGTGGCTATAGGTAGACCCTGTCTCAAAAAAGACCACCCCCCCAAAAAAAATTTTCTCAGGGAATCTACATATAACAGGAAAAAGTTACAAACTACTCAGGCCCCAACCCCCCGTCCAGATTCTAAGTGCAGGGAATTAGAAGCAGAAAGGCATCTCCTGCTGTTAAAGTGAGTATGGGCTCTATAAAAAGAAGTAGGGAGCGAGCTCTGGCCTACCCTCGCCTGTCCCTGCTCTCACTGACTTCCAGCATCCCATCTCACACGCTCTAAAGTGCACTTGTTTACCTTCTGAACATCTGTCTCCTTCCCTGGAATATGGAACTTGTGAGAATAGAGACCTAGCACCCAAGTACTTAAATTAGGGCCAGAAACAACAGATAAGTTCTGGAGACATTTAGGAATGAATATTACATGAAGTCAGTGTTTTGTTTTTTTAATGACACAGCTAACAGATACTCTGAAAAAATTTTTGGAATGGATGCTCTATGAAGTCAATGCTAAGAACGTAAGGACGGGATCACACTAGGTACAAGTCTACACAAACAAGAAGCATGGGCTGACACACCCCTGGCTGTGTCAGTATACAGAAAGCAATACCACAGACAAGGGCAGGCACTGAACAGAAATGCATGTTCTCACAGTTCTGGAGGCTGCGGGTCAAGGGGGTTTCAGGGATGTTTCTTCTGCAGCCTCTCTCCTTAGTTTATAAATGGACATCTTATTCCAAAGTCTTCTCTCTGCACCCCCACCAGATTTGTGCCTGGGACCACACATGCTCCCTGGGCCGCTGACAGCTCTGTCTGGAGCACCCCAGGCACGATGACCCACTCAGATGGTAGATTCTTCCTTCCTTGAGGTGTCTGTTGTGGGCTGCAAGGGGACAGATTTGGGGGTATCCAGGAGAGCTGTAGTGAGTCTCTGAGGCTTGAAGAGGGTGGAGGGGGTTTCTGAGGGGCCAGGATCTGTCGTGGAAGGTGCTGCTGTTTCAGTCAAGTGAGTGGCAGACAGAGTTCTCGGGGACGCTGTCCGGGCCCCAGAGGCTAAGGAGGATCTCTCTGGAGTAACAGGTGGCCAAGGAGCCCCTGGAGAGGCAGGAGGTAGAGTGGAGGGTCCAGGAGGGATAGAAGACTTTGCTGAGGGCTCAGGGAGCTGAGAGGTTCCAGGGTCCCCAAGAAACGTGCCCCTGAGCCCTGGCAGGGGTGAGGGCAGGGTCTGGACTCCTGGTTGGCCTGTGGGTGCCATCTGCACATCAGACAGGTTCATCTTTAAGAGCAGCTGCAGGAATTGGAATGTGGGCCTTGCTTGTGATGCTTGTGATGCTGGAGGGGGCCCCAGGCAGGAGCTGCAGTTCACAGGGACCTCCATGTCTCCCCGGGGACTCCGAACAGCTTTGCCAAGCACCAGGTCTCCATGTGGGGAGGGCTGCTGTCTTTCTTCAGGAATAGATAGGGAATCTAGAGAGAGGTAGGGAAACACAGACAGCTCTCCCCAGAGGCTAGGCTGGCTCTGCAATGCCCTACTGAGGACAGACACCACACTCCATCCTCAGAACAGAAAGGAGCAGTTCACCAAAGTGGCCCTGCCAGGAACTTTCAGTGTGACTTATAGAAGGCACATGACTCCCCAGAGCCTCTATTTTCCCACCTGAAAAATGGGCTTAAACACAGAGGCTAAGGATCAGATGCAAGAGTGCTCAGGATGTCTAAAACTGTCATGCTAGCTCTGGACTACGGGTGTCAATGGCACATCAGTGTGGCACACCAGTGACAACAGACGTACCAGTTTGCTGCAGGTGTCCATAGTGGGGAAGGTGGTGGATTGTGGATTCAGGTATATACAAGAACTCTGTATGGGGGCTAGAGAGATGGCTCAGCAGTTAAGAGCGCTGACTACTCTTGCAGAGGACCCAGGTTCGATTCCCGGCACCCACATGGCAGCTATGAACCATCCTTAACTCAAGTTCCAGGGGAATCCAAAGCCCTCTTCTGACCTCTGCAGCATTGCGCAACACGGGTGCACTCACATACATGCAGGCAATATACTCATACACATAAAATAAAAATAATAAATTATTTTTTTAAAAAATAAATTTTATTTTTAAAAAATTTTTGGAAGTGTCTCAGGTAGCCTAGGCTGGCCTCAGACTCACTAGATAACCAAGGATGACCCTGAATTTCTGATCCTTCTGACTCTACCTCTTGAAGTGCTGGGATTACAGGTATTTATGTGGTGCTAGGGATAGAATCCAGAGCTTTGTACATACTGGGCAGGTGCTAAACCCTGGGTTCAATCCACAGCACTTGAAAAATAAGTAACAGTTTCAGTCTACAACCTCTCACATGGTAAGGGCAAGGCAAATGGAGAAAAGGACAGGAAGGAAGATGCTAAGCAGAAAGAAAACAGCCAGTGAAAACCAGAGATGAAACAAATACTGAAGGGAAGGATCGACAGAGTGAAGGTAGACGGATGCTGCCAAGCACACTGGTACATTCTGAAAGTCCCCAGAGGCTGGTTGTGCAATTCCAAATAGCTCAAAATCATTGAATTGTATGCATTGATAGTATAATTTTTGTCTCAAGGAAGCTATTATTTTATTCTATTGCACTTATTTATGTGTTTGTTGGGGGACACACATGTCACAGTGCATATGTGGAGGTCAGAGGACAACTCTTGGGAATTGGTTTGCTAGTTCCGCCATGTGGGTCCCAGAGATCAAACTCAGGTCATCAGTCTTGATGTTAAGCACCTTTACTTGCCAAGCCATCCTGTCAGCCCTTTATATTATTTTTAAATCATTGAAAGAAAGAAGTTCCTATTCTTCTTCAATAAAAAGGTTGGGTATTCCTTTTTACAAAGCGCTCTCCAGAGGAAGAGGTATGTGGCATGCATAGCTGATGCAGTGTGTTCTGGGGAAATAAGTTGGCTTAGCACTCGCTGCTCTTACAGAGGACCCAGGTTTGGTTCCCAGAACCTATTTGGCAGCTAACAACATCTGTAACTCCAGTTCCAGAGGATCTGACACCCTCTCCCTGACCTCTGCAGGCATTGCACAACACAGGTGCACTTACATACATTCAGGCAAAACACACACATTAAGAAAAATCTTAAATTTGCTGGGTGTAGTGGTGCATACCTTACCACTCACCACTCAGGAGGCAGAGGCAGGCAGATCTCTGTGAGTTCAAGGTCAGTCTGGTCTACATAGTGAGTCCAGGCCAGCTGGGGCTACAGGGAGACCCTGTCTCAAAAAAAAGACAAAAAAAAAAAAAAAAATCCAAAAAAAGAAGTTGATTTAGCACGTCTCTTTGGATCTCAGTTTCCACCCAGGGAGGGAGAGCCAATGAGCAAAGGGTAAGGAAGGAGAGAAAACCCTGGGTTTAAGTCTAGCACCACCAATTAGAAACTTCCCTTCTCCCTGGCTCTGTGGTCCCATGTGAAAAACAGCAGTAGCTGAGCAAGAGTGATCTCCGTGAGTTGCTCAATGAGTGACAGATGAATGTTGAGGGGCTAGCTGACATACTGGCTAACAAAGCATCTGGAAACCTGAGGGCATGACAGCTACCTGCCTGCAGAGAGGTATGTGGTGGGTGAGAGGAAGCACAGCCGATAAGGTCCCCAGTGGTCCCAGGCACTAGGAATCCATTGGCTCCATGGCTGTTCCCAGTCCTACCACTCTGACAGTCTCCAGAGAATGCATGTCCTCAGAAAGCCAAGGAAATGAAGCAAACATTTCACAGGAAGATACACAGACCATAAGTCAGAGAAAAAAGTCCACTGTCTATCTAGACATTGAAAACCTATAACCATGCACAGGATAAACTGGAAAAGTTAACATTCTAAAAATTTGGGGGAATGTGGGAGCCACCTACATCACTGTGTTTCCTTGAGCCTCCTTCAGGAAGCATTGTGTTGGGAGAGACACCCATCCTGACACCCTCTAACCCACATACTTCCACTATCAACCACATGGTCCCTACACAACTCACAAGATTTGAAAAAAAAGTTGACCTAAGATTTTCCAAAGGAGGTACATCACATATGGATGGATGGATGGATGGATGGATGGATGGAT